ATTTCAGCCAAAACGAATTTTTGTTTTGGTGTGACCATCAACACATGTGCTTACATGCACACTGCCCTGAGAATGGAAGGCAATAAATGTTTTCACTCTCTTCACAGTGTTTCACTTAGGGATGGAGAGAAGTCTAGCTCACAGAAACTCTGGACAACCTCTTCAGGCCTGAAATTCTCACAAAGCAGTAGCCAAAAGGTCCACATCCCAATAAAACAAAAATTCTCTGATGGGCCCCCATTCCTTGCATCAGAGCTGTCTGCTGGAAAGCCGTGTGTATGCTGTTTGTCCAGGTTCTCTCACTGGGTTCTCAAGTATTACACAGGTGTGACTACTTCACTTTTCATTTGGACCAGGAACGTACTTGGGAGTGGATTCTCCCAATCCACTTCTTGTGCGACAGACTGCACTGGGGAGCTGTCTCAAAGTGCCTGAACTGACGTCCATTTAAATAGAGCTACACCTTCATTTTGTGATGTATTTCACTGCAAACAGGCATCCGGTTCACAGCACCAAACTAGGGCTAGTCCAAAGTACAACCCACTTCCCTGAATCAGGTACACAACCTGTCCTCAGCACCAGCAGTTTCCCTTGAACAATCTGTTGCTGTATGCTATTTACTAACACAGATGGAACCTACAGGTGATTTCATCCAGGCTAATAACTGCAGCTTCCACACACCCGGCCAGCTGATCTGGGAATGCTGGCCTGGCCTTTCAGGAACTTGCAGACACAAGAGAAAAGAGGTAGCAAAAACCCAGCTGTTACGCTCTAGTCCACCTTGACAGGGTAAAGGTGTCTGAACATCCTCCCTCTTACTTCTCAGTAAGCAAACCACATTTTTCAGAAAGATTTTACTTTGTATCTCTCCAATTACAATTTTATATTTATGCATTAATTCATTTCAGGATTTGTTATTGTAACTTGGTTAAAAAGTAAGAATAACCAAACACAATTCAGATACAACTCAGTACAAATAACTCAGTGATAAAACCAATACACAGTGGTTAATGTCATTCCTTGCCTTAGCTTCTGCTCTCCGAGTTCCAGCTGCTCTTCACAATTCTGCTGCCTTACTTCCCTGTACAAATTAGTAAGCAAGCTCCTATTTGGGCACGTCTCTTGACATATTTTGTATATCTTTACAGAGGCTGAGATTTTTTTTTTCCTCAGTCATTGCCATCCATGAGTATTTCAGCTTGAACAGTTAAGCTGTAAAAGCTTCTAATTAAAGAAAAAAAAATTTATAGCCAAGCTGTAGTTCAACTAAGTGTTTCTATTGAAGATTTACTTGCTAAGTCACTAGTCAACCTCTGTACACCACACACAACCTCAGCTCCTTCAACTTTAAGAAGTCTATTAAACCATTTTATTTTAAAATCTTAAGTATTTATTAGTTGGCACAGTAAAAATGTTCCACCATCCCATAAAGCAGAGGCTTCTCAGAAATGCTGCAGCTTCTATATTCAGGATGATGAGAAATTACAAACTGGAATTGTCTTGCAGTTCTGTGAGCTGATCTCTGAAGAAAGAGGTGCTTTGCCTGACTTTTCCCTTAAAGTTATTTCTACTTGGGGAACCCAGAGCCAAACTGCTGCTTTTGTGTTCTCACGAACACCTCTAGTGCACATAAAAGATTGCTTTATTATAGGAGCCTTCCAAAAAAGCAGGCTATGATGTGAAACAGTATTTTAGATCATCAAATGTAAAGTAAACAGTTAAACTCGGTGCTCCATATATTTATATATATATTTATATATGGCAAAAACCCCAAAAAACCCCTTAGTTGTACCATCCATCTCCGATGGGACCTGGAGTTTTCCCTGATCCTGCAGGATTTACTTATATTTTCGCTATTGGTTTGGCTCAAAACGTGTTAACCACATGAAAACAGCTAATAGCACCAACTTCCAGAGAGCCTTTGAGCAAAGGAAAGCAAACAGTTTTCGACTGGAGCCTAAAAATTCTGCTTTGAACTGCAGAGGGCGGGACCTGTACAAAACAGCAAACTCAGCTACCTCATTGGGCTTGGCTGCTTGTTAAATCTGAAGGTCGACATGAAGCTGAAAGTAGATACTCATAAGAAATTCATTCAGAAAGCCATAAATGATTCAAGAGAAAAAACTTGGTAAGCTGCAATCTACATGGCCAGGAATTTCACTATGGAAAGTCCTACTCCTTACCAAGGACTCGTAATGTACCTTTTAAATGCAGAGGACACTGCCCTACTCCATAAAAGCCATGTGAGCCAGACTGTATTCTGGCCCTCTCCCATCAAATTGGGGACATCTAAGCAGAGCGGGTGCAATTCAGGCCTGGGGTGCAGAAAAAGAAATAGAAGGACAAAGAATAAAAGTGAACAGCTCCAAAGGGAATGTAACTGCTGAGTAACAGGGGTTTCACCACAGGACTGACTTCATTTCAAATGCTGAGCGCATATTCCTCGGTCATTGCCCAGACCTCCGCGGGGGAAGGTGGGGAGTGACTGGCATACAGAAAACAAAGTGTCTCAACTGCTCGGCATTTTGTGATAATCTGCGCTTATCTGAAAGCTGTCAATTGGTAACAACATTTTTTCCCCCGAAAAAAAACTGACCTGGAGAAACACACTGAGCAGCAACCTCGTGTTCTCTGACAGGGGCATTGTGTGAACTTGGGCACCAAAACCCAGCTCTGGCAGAAATCTGAACTTTCTCTTTGCTGTGTTGCCGGCATCCGTCCTGAGAGACAAGTGAGGGTCTGTCCCTCCAGCCCTACCCGCAGCCTCAGTGGCTTCGAGGAGATTCGTCTACAAGCAAAGCTGTGGCATTTGAGCCTTCCCTCCCCAGAGATCCCCAATTCTTCCCTGATGCTGGCTCTCTATTAACTCTCTGATTTTTGATACAGTATCCAAGTATTCAAATTCATTTATACAAGGGTTCCTGGGGATAAATGCACTAGCACAAACAAGGGTACACCACAGGATACCACCACCGCTTATTCACCTCCCCAAATAATTTACCATGCTAGAAGGAAGATGGTCTTAAAAGTGAGACAGGCCTAATGCACTTCAAGGTTGATTGGGCTTTAGACAGTGTTAAAATGCGTGGTTATGAGGCCTCCTTAGGATACCAAATCCCAATTCATTTGGCTAAAGTGCAAGTCATTCACTGAGGGATTAAAGACACCCAAAGGTGCTTAACTTTGCTGGAAGCTGTGGGGAATAAAGGAAAGAGGCACAGCAGTACAGATGGACCAAAACATCCTCATAAATGAGTGTGATATACCCTAAAACAGACCAGGAAAAAAGCCAAGATCGCCCTTTCAGAACACTCTTAAAAAAGGGGAAAAAAAGGAGGGGGGGTTTCTTGGGCTTCCTGATTTTCAGTTTCTTGTTCCTTCTCATTCTCTTCCAGAAGGCAAATTAATTTCATTTGTAGCTTCTGACCCAAACTAAGAAGTAGATTGTTATTCCCATGCATTCTCCCCCAGAGGTCTACTAGGCACTCTATTATTTAGAAAAGAGCAGAAATAATGGCAAAACATCAGCAAGATCAATTTGAACACAGCATATGAGTTATATTAGGATTCCAAGAAAAATAAGGGGCATTTCCAATGTTATTATAATTACTACTTCAGTAATATTTCACGGCACAAGCCAAGCAACCAAGCCTTGCTGCACTGAACAGTGTAAAACTTTCTTTTTTTGATGCCTTGACAGCTTCCCAAACTGAAGAAAGCTCACAGGCAGTTCTGTCTCAGCAGTCTCTGGAAAACAAAAAAAACCAGCCTACTTCTTGCTTTGCTATTGGGAATTTCAGAGCATCTATTGCGAATACACCCAAAAATCTGATCTTCAGAACAGAAGAAATCCAATCAGCTTCCCAGTCCAAGGTCCAAGATTAGCCAAGCCAGCTGGGGACAGCTACATTGTAAATCCACCCTTTTCTGCCAGTGCTGGCGGCCCATTCTTGGAGGTTCCCCAGGCTGCAGCAAGAAACCCTGCTGCTCTCGGTTCCCCTCAGGAGGGAACTGGGAGCATCCACTTCGAAACTGCTGCCCCACAGGTTGGAGGCAGCTGATCAGGGTTGATTGATCCATACCAGCAAAATCATTATAGAAGAAACCTTGATTTAAATAATGTAACCTTGCTTTGCATTTTACCTTAGTTATTTTCTTTACCGGTTCCTTGTTTGTTTATAATCCTTTAGACAAAATAAGCTTAAGCTAACCACAGCTTTTATATTATATATGGTAGTTGTCTATGTAGCTAGAAAGACACACTATATATAAATTGCTTAACTAGCTGAGAATCTGAGGACACATTTACTAAAATTTTCTATTTATACAATTTATTGCACTAAGAACTGTTTCTTATTTTCTATTTCTTCAGCAATGAATTCTTTAATTCTGGTTTCTGTCAAGCTGCTTCTGAATAGAAACCTGCATTATAAAATGAAGTCAGTTGTAGACAACTAACACTAAACTTGCGATTTTTTACATAAACTAATGCTGTATTAAATATGATGGAAACAGAAATAAAATTACTTGTAACAACTATCACTGTACTATCATCTCCTACTAATGAATTAATGGTGTGCAATCAGTAAAAATCTGCATTTCTATTTTTTTTATTTGCAGACTGAAAGCTTTGATGTTTTTTGACTCCAAAATGATTTCTTTACTTTTAGTAACAGTTATTGCAGTGAACTAAACTGAACACAGATTAAAATATCTCTGTGTATCTACAAAAGTGACTGTATTGTCTACCCACAACAGCGCAAAGTTAGTTTACACTTTCAACAAACTACGTTTTAAAGTGCTTAGTCAAAGGTTTCCCTGAAGTCAGTTGTCTGACTGTATAAAACTGTGCAGGAAAAACAGGTATAACTGTTCTTTTTTATTTAAGTAATTTTAGGAGACTAAAACAAGTCGGTACTTAAGAATTCATTATCCACCAAGTCATCATTCAAGTGGTTTAGCCAGCATCCACAGAGTCAATGTGGGCAACACCAACCCACGGAAGACTCAAGCAGGGCTTTATCCTCCAGCCCAGAATGGGCCCCACGACCTGGCCTGGCAGCACCACAAAACTCATCCCCAAGGAGCCCGTGTGTAGGTAGGAGACAAGCTGGGTAAAACAGCACGTAAAAACCTGTAATGAAGCCATATTAAAAGCTAATGTTTATACAAACACTAGGGACTAGTTTTATAGCATATGGGAGTAAATTACTTCACTTGTCAGTATCTGTGTCCCTGGGGACTTGCATGGTGACACTAAGCATTCATGTTACTGGATGGGGGGGGGGGGGGGGGTCATTTTTTTT